ACATCCATATATAAATACATATGTATATATATATATGTCTATATGTCTATATATATATGTTTATATATATATATATATATATGTTTATATATATATACATATAAATACATATATATATATATATACATATATATATATATATATATATATATGTTTATATATATATATATATACATATATATATATATCGTTAGGAAAGTTCTGGCTCTAATGCAATGACCTCTGGAGGTCAGCAAGAGGTACAATTCACACACCCGTCTTGGCATCTCGGCTGTTTCTGTTTGTACTTCTGTGTCGACATCTCATTCGTGCTTGTTGGTAGTAGTTTGCTATTTCATACTTCCGTATCAACATTTCATCCTCCCATCGTGTTAAAGTTCAGGCGTGAAAGATGGAAAGAGTGTATGATCACCTTACACTATCATTTACTGACCTGTCATTTTATCTGATTTCTCCCGTGTTGACATTTCATTGGCTATTATCTATAGACTACGTGGTGGTGGGTAGTGACAGTGGGCGTATATCCATCCTCGAGTACATCGTTGAGCGCAATGCGTTCGAGTCCGTACACATGGAGACCTTTGGCAAAAGCGGCTGCCGGCGAATCGTGCCGGGGCAGTACTTGGCAGTGGATCCCAAGGGAAGGGCTGTGATGATTGGTACGATAATGCTACGGGTAGAATTCAATAGGTGTTCGTTTTGTCTTGCAAATATTGTATTATCTCGCATGTGAGTTGTCCAGTGTATGCTTGTTCGTAAAGATTGTTGCTGCAGTAATTGGCGGCGAATCCCAAAAGGGTATGCTGAGGCGTTTACCAACGGGGTGGCTTGTGGACATATTCAGGCATTTGAATGTGCTCAATAGTGCCTGTGATTGCACACGTGTGTGCACGTGTAGCCTAAGTTACGCAAACGTTTTGTAAAAAAAATTGTGGGCCACAGTTGACAATTGGAGGCTGGTCACAAAGGGCAAGCTGCGAAACTACGCACTTCAGCAATCGCAGTCATTGCTATGCGTCATGAGTTGGAAGGTTCTAAACGTACACAGAGATGCATAAGCGCACACAACATACATGCACATATACATGCACACATCCATGCGATGATGACATATATGCGCAGACGGCCGTTATTGTTATACGATACAGTATCTAGGCGGACCAGCTCATCACTCACGGAAGCGCACGAGTTCCTCTCGATAATCTTCCTATTTTTTCATTAAAATTATATTTATATACCAATAAACAGCGGCCGTCGAGAAACAGAAGCTTGTTTATATTCTGAACAGAGACGCGGCGGCAAGGTTGACCATCTCATCGCCTTTAGAAGCGCACAAATCTCACTCGATATTATTTCACGTCATTGGATTGGATGTTGGGTTTGAAAACCCTATGTTTGCCAGTCTCGAACTGGACTATGCCGATGCCGATGACGACGCAACCGGCGAGGCGCTTGAGGATACAAAACAGGTGGGCCACACAAAGTGTATGCGTATATATATATACATACAAATATATACATACATATATATATATATATAAATACATATACTTACATACATACATACAAATACATACATACATATAAATATATATATATATATACATATACATATATATATATATATATATATACGCACACACACACACGTACGCACACACACATATACACATACACACGTACGCACACATACACACACACACGCGC